TGCGGGATAGGGCGTACATTGCATTGGGATAAGTCCACTTACTGCGGTTATTTTAATTGATTCCTTTAGTATTTACTAAACAGAAATAACAATCATTGAAGTGGTTTTTTGGTTCTCTCCAAACCATTGGTACGCCGAATTTTAGACATTTTCTTTTCCCGGTAGACCACTGCCGTTAATGCTCTGTACAAGTTTTACATACGAGATGCGGGGCCCACTTTTTATCCTGATCCCCAAGGTTAACTCCAAAATATCCAAGATACGCTCGCTACACAAAGTCAGTAATAGTTTGTCTGTTTTGTTAAAACATGTATTCTCCGCATATATAGCAAAACACATCAGGTTGATTTACACAACTTCTTCTTGAACTGAAACCTGAACTCATTTTAATTCTGTTCAATAACACAAAAACACTCTTTTCCTAACATAAAATAACATGCCGAATTCGATCTAGTCTCATTAGTAAGAACGCACAAACTGACGAGACTTACCCGAGTTAGGGGATTAAAAGGGTCAGTTCAGGTACCTGATAGGCAATGGTTCCACTATTTATAGATTTACCTGGAATTTGCTCAATTACAGACTGACAATAAAACCATTGTACCTACATTGATGAATGTATAATAATTTTAGAACTCTCATAAATGAATATACTGAATAAAAACCACATTGGTAGATAAGTTGATGTATCTAAAAAAGTAGAGCTGATAGAGAAAAACGGATTGCATGTACAGATTTAACGTCCCAAATATAGTTAAAATCAGCTCTAAAATCCCAGGCATCAAAAAAAAATTTTTTTGTTGCCCTGTGTAATTTTATAAATTAATTTTTTCTGTGATTCTTTTTTGTTAATTTTGGATTTTTTTCTTTATATTTATGTAAACTAATATGACTGGATGATGTTGATATGATAACCAAAAGAAATGACCCAGTGGTAAAATAATTTAATTTTAAATGAAGATCTTACAAACATTAGTTTATTATTTATTTTAAAAACAATTATTATTTTTATACTGCCACCTCTACAAAAGGTTGACGGTTTTAAAAATTTGATTAATTATTTTAGTAATAATATTTCTGCATTAATTTAGTCCATTATAATAACGAATCAACGTTTTTTATCTACAATAATCATATATTTGAGGATGTAGTATAGGTGCAAATAAATTTTGTTCATTTATTTGCATAAATTTTGATTAGATTTATAAATATAACGGATATGATAATATAATCAACTGAAGTAGAAACTGCTATTATACAGGGTCTTATATTAGTGCGTCATTGTTCAATATTTCAATTTGTGACACGCAAACAGGTTTTAAATAATAGTTATATGGATGTTGAAAATACGTATTTTAAAAATATTTTTGGATATATAGGGTGTTGTGTTTCTGCCCTTAAATAAAAATTTATATTTTACTTTAGGATAGTAAACTAACGAATAGCGATGATAGAACTGGAATATTTTATACAAAGTGTTTTAAAACATGACTTATATATGATAATTTTATGTTCAATTTACTCAATTTTTAATGCAACCCCCTGTATATTATTTAAGCATAAAAGTCCTTATAAATTTACCTATCCAACGATACCAACATGTTAGCCTAATAACACATACACAGGGTTTCCCATCAGTACGTAATTGATCGATAGCTGTTTTATTATTAAAAAAAAAATGAAAAAATTTTTAATATAAAAGTTGTATTCAAAAGGAAAGACTTGTATTTCGTGCAAAACTTTTTAACTAATAAATGCAAAGCGCTTTCGGCTTATTTGCCATCATCAGTGCTTATCTACAAAAATTGTGGATGTAAACTTACAATTTAAGAGAAATATAAAATCTGAGTAAGACTTTTAGATCAAGAGTTAAAATTGTATATATACGGTTATTTCAACAAATTAACAATTAAAAGATAACAAACAAAGTGACAAAACCCAGTATTGGGAATAGTGAGTGTGGGATAAGCCCTTACAAATCATATATGATCTCCAGAAGCAAGTTAGCTTGTGTGGAATTAAGGAATTATACGCATTGAGTACAATTGAAAACAAGTTAACAAATTAGTTAAAATTTAAAAAAAAATTATAAATAGAGGGTGACTGGAAAATATATAGAAATTTAAATCTAGAATACAATAGTTAATATGAAAAAGGTTAAACGCAGAAGGCCAAATTAAAAAAACTGAAGGTTTTTTTATATACATTATAATTATAAAAAAAAAGGCTACCTACTATACACAACGAATCCAACAAGTTCCTGGTCATCCTCACTCCCAAAATGAGATACTTCGGGATATTTACAACTTGCTAAATCATATTATTACTATCAGTAATATTTTCAAATTTAAATTTCTTTATATATTCATTTTTATTTTTATTCAAGTTGTTTAAGCGTGTCCACATGACAGTGGTGACAAGCGACACTTAAAGACGTTGACCTGTCAAGAGAGGAGGTGCGTTTACCTCAGTGTGGAACATGTTTCTCCAAGTGTGATTCGAGTGATTGGAGGTGGTTAACGGAGATCAAAATTTGTTAGTATTGAATTTAAAGATTTGATTTATTGTTAGACCCTGAGCTTCAATCGAGTTGACTCAAAGCTGGTTTGGAATTGTATAAATACCCTAGAATACCTCGTTGCCCGGAACAAAGTTACTCTGGGTTCCGGGACACAGTGGTGTGGAGAGTAACGAAATAAGGACATAATACATATCCATAAAGTTTAAAATTATGTTTTGATATCTGACCACCCCCTAAAATAATTTTAGTGTTTCTAAGTACTGTGAAAATTCGAAAATACATTCTGGAAAGGGCATTTTGACTTGACAAACGACATAAGCACACAATAAAGATCCATAGTAGTTTAAAATAAAGTTTTGACGTTTGACCACCCCCTAAAATAATTTTAATGTGCACAAGTAGTGTAAAAATTCGAAAAATAAAATTTGGAAATCGAATTTCGGCTTATAAAGAAAGTTTACACGACATAATTTTACAATAAAGCTCCATAACGATTTAGAATAATGTTTTGACTTTAGACCACCCATTAGAATAATTTTAATGTGCCCAAATAGTGTAAAAATTCGAAAAGTAAAATTTTGAAATCGAATTTCCACTTGAAAAAATGATCAAACGACATAAGTTTACAATAAAAATCCACAACGATTAAGAATTATGTTTTGATGTTTGAACACCCTGTAAAATAATTTTAGTGTTTCTAAATAGTATGAAAATTCGAAAAATTAAATTTGGAAACGGAATTTTGATCTGGAAAAAATAGTCAAACGACATAAGTACACAATAAAAATTCATAACAATTTTAAATTAGGTTTTGATAATTTTATTGTGCCCAAGTAGTTTAAAAATTCGAAAAATAAAATTTGGAAATCGAGTTTTCCTTTGGAAAAAATGGTCAGTACATAATTTTAAACGTTTTTGGATCATATTGTGCCTTTCTGACCATTGATCTATCTTTAAAAGTTGAAATTCATCCCAGAACCCCCTTTTTTCTATAATTTACCCCCTTAAAATTATTTTAAAGGGTGTTAAAAAAATCTAGGGGATGGTCAAACATGCTCAAAAATTGGTTAATCTTATGGTGTGCAGTCAGTTTTAAAAAATATCAAGTTTGGGGGCCCAGCGGGCATTCGGCCATTAATATTTAGGTTTCTGAGGGTGGTCAAAAAAAGATAAAGGTCAATAGGTGGTCAAACGTATGCCGCTTCTAAAACTAAAATTTTCGAATTTCGTAAGGACCAGTTTCACAGAGCTTTATAGGTTTACTTTTAAGAAATCAAAATTATTAATATTGGTCCAAATTTTAAAATGTTTGTACCACAATCCTTCTCATCAAATTTTAAACAATAAAAGAGCACAAATCAAAAAGGGAAAACGATATCAACATAAAAATTTTAGTAGAAATGAAGCTCTATAAGGGGACTATTAATTTAACAAAAAAATCTAATAAAAATGGGGAGGTTAAGGGGGCTTTAAATTAAAAAGAGCATAAATAAACAAGGACAAATATATAATTCCAACACGAAAAGCGATATCAACATATTATGTTTAGTATAAATAAGCTTCATATTGAAGCCTATTGATTCTGAAAAAAAAAAATCTAAATAAAAATGGGGGAATAAAATGGGTGGAAATATAAAAAAAAATCCTAACTCAGATATAAAAAAAATAAAAAGATCTAATTGAAAATGGAGGTTAAGGGGGTCTGTTAAACTGTGAAAATATTGGCAGAATTTCTTAATGCTTATTTAACTGTTACCGTTACCTTTTCCTATAGGGGGTTATCTAAAATGATTTTTAATTAGTGAATATAATTATCAATAATAATAAATTAATAAAATTTAACTGTTTTCTATTTCTCAAAAATACTATAAATAATTTTATGAATTATAAAAATTAAATAAGTAATATTTAATTAAATAAGAATTATCGTTTAAATTCATCATAATATTATTTTGTGAATATTTCTTTAGTATTATTTATAATAAATTAAATGAAGCAGAATTAAGAAGAAGAAGCCAATGACATTAAATAAATTATGTTATAAAATAAAATAGATGTGTATAAATTAAAATGGCTTAAAAAAAAGTGGTATTTTTTATGTTAAAATTGCTGTTTTGACAACAAAATGTCATCATTATATTATATATATTTTTTAACATAACAAGATCCAGTAAATTGTAGAGATGCCCCTTATAAAACATTTAAATGTTACGAATAATTTTAAAACTTCTCCTTTTTAATTTTTGATATTAAAAACAAAAATTACCTACCTTTCAAAATAAAAATAAATTTCTACCACCTGTTCATACGACATGCTTTTCAATATGTATCTAATATCAATAAAAATAAAAAACAACGGCTTACCAAAGTTTTAAATTGAAACGATATTTAAAAAAATAAAACCATGAAAATAATCCACACACCCCTATTTTCTGGATACACTTCATCACTAAACAACCACAAAAACATCGATACTAACCTGATACTGCTGCCAGTATCTGGGGAAAGGTACCATAGAATTTGTCCGTGACACTACCAGGCAGCAGCATTCTGTAAGAGTCTGAAAGAACAACTCTCGTAAATCTAGCCCAGTATTGTTTTCGTGACCTTGGCAAGGCTGAAAAAGTCGTACCGCAAGACTTAAATTCAGTGAGTGAGGATTAGTGCAGTATAAGGAAATGTTACGGATTTTCGTATGAAACAATATAACAAATTATTCTTGAAATAATTGTTTTTACTATAAATCCCATTTTAAATAGTCCATATATACGTGCTTTATCTGTGTTTTAAACTATGAGAAATATTAAAAGCATAAAAGATGAGTAAATTATTTATATTTTTACAATATTTAAAAGTATCTATAAAATTCATTGTGTTCTTTGAACTTTTTGTAATATAATATTAATATATCATATGAGAAGAACAGATTTATTACTTTAAATCACTGATTAATTTTTCAATAAAAATATTAGTTTAAGCATAAAACATAAAAAAATAAAACAGGGTTTCGAGACAAAAAGAAAATAAATCTATTATCAGTAACTGCGTTGACATTTTAAGAACATCAAATTTGATCGTTATAATGTAGGCCAGAATTATTTTATGTTCTTTTACAATTAGATCTGTTTAAATGTAAACTTTATCTTAAAATCTCCGTGTCGTATCAGTCGTTTTTGTTTGGTGTATTTTTAAAAAAATAATAATATATTATTTTTAATTTTTCTCATTATCGTAGATATACCACAGTTTAACATGATATAAAATGCGGGATAAAGTTGGGCCAGGAAAGAAGATAAGATGAGTTTTGTTTTAATGTTTTTAACAAGAAGTACAGTTAGTCTTAATGATAACCAAATTGATTTATTTAAGAGCGTTTCTAATTAAAGCCGTTCTGTCTTAATACTTCTTTTGCGAAGTGCTGTATTGCTGCTATTTCTGCCTGGAATACTGCCGCATGTTTACCTAAGCTCAGTGAGATTCTTGTCTTTGGCTTGGTACTATATATAGCTACTTTTGAACCTTTATGGGTTTTGGAGCCGTTTGTATACCAGGTGAAATCTGCATGAATAGGAGGTCCTCCCGTCCACGCTTCCCTGTTTGGTATACTTACTTTATATTGCTTTTGAAAGCTATACTTTGGGAGCATTTCGTCTAAAGGCATTCCCATTATATATCTCGCTGTAGTCGCTGCTTATGGGTGATGAACCTTTGTGCAGTCTATATGTGACAGACCCGGCTTCACCTTGAATGAATATATGTAGTGTTGTTAGGTTTAGCATGACTTCTATAGCTGCTGTTCTCATAGCTCCCGTGGTACTCAGGCATGCTTGCCTTTAGATACCATTGAGCTGTCGAATGGCTCCAGCTTGCCGAGTCTTTGGCCATCATACCACTGACCCATAGGTTATCATCGGCCTTATTACTATATAGCCATAGGGACATTTTTGGTTGTAGTCACCAATTTTTTTTACACAACCTTCGACATAAGTTGAAGGATGTTGTGTTTTTTTGGGTGACTTTTTGCAAGTGTTGATTTAATGTTAACCTGTGGTTGGCCTCTTGAACAAATGGAATCTTTACTCCTTTCAGTACTGGTGACTTTAGTCCTATTGGTACTTTTCGTTTTGTAAAATTGACCCTTGTGGTTTTGTAAGGGTTTACTGTTAGTTCCTCCTCTCTGCACCACTCGTCAACAATGTTTAGAGCGGTTTGTAAGCGCTTCGATATTGTACCTGCGAATTTGCCTCTCACGACGATCGCCAGGTCATCGGCATACCCTAGGCAGTAAAAATCTGCAGATATTAGTCTTTTTATAAGTTCGTACACTAGGACTGACCAGATGAGGGGTAATAGTACCCCTTCCTGGGGACAGCCCCTGCCTGCTTTAGCTGTCTTTCTAGCATTTTCAGCATGAATGACGATAGACTGATTGGGCGGTACGACTTTGGTGTCATCATTAAACATTCCTACTTTAGAAAGGTATGTGACTTTCACCTTTTGCCACGCCTTTGATATACAGGGTGAGTCGGGAGGAGCGCACCAAACTCTAGGAGTATATTATACACGTGAAAATAATGTAAAAAAAAACTCATATGTTCTTATCCGATTTTCATTTGTTTTCAAGTTATAGCATATTATTTTCCTATATTATACTCCTAGAGTAGAGTAGACATCCAGCCGAAAAACACAGTTGTCAAATTGCAAAAATAAAATTCTTCATTGTAATTTATTAGAGAGTTATTGCAAGTTCACTTAAGATCAGTCACTATTAGTGCCGCTCTTATTTTGACATCTGAGCATGCACAGATCACTTCTATTCTAGAACTGACTTTAATAAAGATTGTGCTTGTCCTTAATTGTGTATGTTATAAGGACTGCAGTTAGTGGCCACTTTATGGTTTTCGGATGCGCTCGCCAACATTCGTATCGGTTCGAAATTTTTTAATATTAAATATTTAACATCATCGTCATCTAAACCTTCTAAAATGGTAATTTTAGTGCCTCTTCCATATTATGTACTATTATAAACAACAAAAAAGATAAACTATAAGTTAATGTTTTTAAAATAAGGTTAGAAATATGTATAAGGAAAAGGATTCTAATGTCAAAATTTCAGGTTTGCAATAAGTCTTATTTTAGCATGAAACTTATTTGCGTTTAATTACTTTGTCACTATTAGTGGCTGACGTTATAGAAATTTACAGTATCTCTCTATTATTTTTATGTTTTACAAGCATTTAAAAATATTAGCAGGATAGAAAGTATTTTTATAATTTGTCTGTTCCTGGTTTAAAAAAAAGTATTGTGACTTTACTATACTGTAAGCAAGAAAATCCCTGTATCAATAATAAACTGCATTTTTGTTTACATATAAAAAATTCATATTTGACAATTAATAGCTATATTGTAATATTGTTATAAATTTCATCATTTTTTCAATGTTTACTACATCAACAGTAAAAGTACAAACGTATGTAGGTACTAATTAATATTGTATTTTTCTAATTATTTATATTATTGAATGAAAAAATAATCTTCAACACCCATACCGTCTGAATTATTCGCAAAATGCTGTAGATAACTTTATAAAAATATGTATATTCTGGTAATTAGAAAAATATTCCGAAAAGAATTGAGTAAAGCTATAATAAAACTATACAATGTATATTTTGTTTATATAAAGTCCTCCTAATATTTTAATCCTTTTATAACTATTTTTGAAGAGTAAAAATATAATAAAAAAATGTATGCAACCAAGATCCATTTTAATCTTATTTTTAATCGGTGTTTTAATTATTTACGTAGGATTTTGTTACTCCATTTTTATTACTTATTTTAAAAAACGTCATTAAAAAAAAAGATAAAAAGTTCTAACATCGAAAAATTCGACTATTATATTAAATACTATAATTACCAACACATCAGTGCAAGAGAAGTCAAGTAGTAATAGATGCAAAAAGTGACGTTACGTCATAATAATTTCCCAACAAGCTTAATTTGTTTCGATATTTTTTTGTCGTTAAATTTTGTTATAAATTTTTATATATCAATAAAGATAAAGTTAGTTTTAAAATAAACATTTGTTTTTGTAATTATATTATAATATTATTCATCCCAACGATAATCATAATTTCGAGCGCAAAAATTTAAAAAATGTAAAATATAACCAATATATTTCCCTTTATCGACCAGCCCGGTCCTGCTTTATGTAATTATTATCGCTAATTGAAGCAGCCATCCTACCTGCATGCCTAGTCGATTTTAGAATATTTTATCTTAATATGCTGTTTTGCTGTTGCAGTCAATTAGTTCAGGTTGAGATATCACTGTGAGCAGATCAATATAGTTAGTATAAATTAGTATTAGTATAGGTAATATTAGAGTATAAATAAATTAGTTTCCTGTTGTAAATAAATCAATAAATAAACTTCTTCGTGTCCAAATATAAAATAAAAAAAACCATTTCAATTTATTAAAAATTTATTTTTCCTTGTTACAAATATACAAAACAGTTTTTACCTTTATTGTAAAAAAATAAGACAATAAGCAATTCCTAAGACTAGTGGCACTGTATATAATTTTTTGCAGGACTCTCCTATAATGTTTTACATATTAGGGCAACAAATCAACATTTTTCTTGAAATAAAATCAAACTGCCTCCATGTTTGAGTTAAATTTTGTTGATCATACCTTATGTCAAGCAATACGGCAATCAAGTTTTGTCTATGTCTACAGAGTGTTTGTGAAAAGTATTTTCATCGGCTTAATTTGATCTAAGAAATAAGTGATACGTTTTTGTAAATGCCTTTATGTTAATTGTTATTTTTTAATTTTTAACTCATTTTAATTTATTTTTTCATGCACTGCAACTAGTTCTCCAAATGATGGGTTGTTGACAGTAACCTTAAATTAGGTAATTTAAAATGTTCTTGTGTTGTTTGTCCTAATAATTCTATACCAGTCAGTATAATTTTACATGTCATCATTGTTGAAGTGTCTTATCCTAATAGTTAATAACCAGCAGTTACATAATTGGTTATTTTTGAGTTTTAAAATTATGATTTTTAAGAGTATTAGTAGAAAATAAAACGTCATATTTTCTTTTAAATGTTTAGTAAACCAACAATTCTAATTTTAAAGTAAAAAGAAGAAGCGCTAAAATAAATAGGCCTCAGTTTAAATAGTCAAAAATGGAAGCTACCAGTATTACTAAGATCAAATAATTTTAGTTGAAGGCAAATCCAACTGGGTAACTTGAAAATAAAAGATGTGTATTTTGTTAGAAGACATTCCTTGTACTACAGATGTTGTAAAGTAAAAATTAACGATACCAGATCCATTAGATCCTCAAGCAAATAAAGATAAAAAGAAGAAATATAAAAGTGATCTGGAAACATTTGCAAAGGCAGATAATAATACACTTGTAGCAATTAAAACTAATATGACTAAAGAGCACCTACAGAAAATTACAAATGCTAGAGATGTATGGTTAGAATTACACAGATTTTTTGATGCAAATGATGATGATAAAACATATGAAATTCTTTAATTTTAAGAAACGAGAAGATAATATCTCTACAAACATGTCAAAGCTAAGAAACTTGTAACTTAAACCCCGCCCCTCTACATTTGATGATAGAGAATGT